CCTACTGTAGCTCTATATATACAGCATTAGGCTCATGGAAGAAGAAAAAAATCCCACAACTTGTATAAGTCGTCCGCCCCTCTCTCTTTCTCTCTCTTCCAAGGAGTTCTTCTATTTCTTGTGCTCCACTGATACAAGATCTAGAAAGCTGTTTGAGAATACAGTAGAAGATCTTAAGGTATATAGAGATTCCGATCATACATCCAAACCGGAGACCAAAACCAACAAGTGACCATACCACGATGACCAGGACGACGAGACGAAGAGATCGCCGTCGAGATCGCCGCCGTACGCCGCCGCACGCGCCCACACGCGCCGCCGGGAGGAGCCTGCTGCTTGGACTTGCACCGGCACGTGAGAGAGCGTGTGACCTCCGATTTCCGATCGGTCAACGCCGTTGACTTCGCCGTGACGTCAGCTTTCCGGATTGGTCAAGTTTGTTCGATTCCGAGAAGATTTGATTTGCGGTCAACTGTCCGGGCCAGCCAGATATACATAAATTTTAAGCAGTAAGTTTTTTTCATCAAACCTTTAGATCCGCTGCGCATAGGTTTATGTTGAATGTTTGTCCGTGATTTGTGCATATCGAGATCCTCGTGGGTTCCAACAGAAACAGGTTTCTTGTTGGTCAAGAAAGTTGTTTCTTGTCAAGAAACCCGTTTCTTGAGCAACAAACGGGTTTATTGGAAAGAAACAAGTTTTTTAAGGAAGAAACCTGTTTTCTTGGCAAGAAACCCGTTTCTTGAGCAAGAAACCTGTTACTTGCTCAAGAAACTCATTTCTTGCCAAGAAACATGTTTCTTCCTCAAGAAATCGATTTATTTCCAAGAAACCCGTTTGTTGCTCAAGAAAACTTGTTTCTCTTGAACAAGAAACTCGTTTCTTGCTCAAAAAATCTATTTCTTGCTCAAGAAATTTATTTCTTGCACGAGAAGAAACTGTTTCTTGAACAAGAAACTGTGTCTTGTATTCATATATTTTTGTCAAAACATTACCTAGTTGTTTTGAAATTTTTTTTATTTGTTGTTTTTTATTGATAGTAAATGAATGTTATTTATATGAATGATTTGTATGGATAAATTTATTTGTGTTGTTTATCATATTTTTGTCCCGGCATTAAACCGAGCATCCATATTTGAAAATATATATATAAAAAAAAAGAAACAGGTTTCGGGTCCACTTTCCTCACTTTTCGTGTCCTCGTGAGAGTAAGAATCCTCAAGAGATGGAGAAGTTTCGGGTTTCTTGAGCAGGAAACAGTATTCTTGCTCAGTTTCTTGATCAGAAAACAAGTTTCTCGAACAAAAAACGAGTTTCTTGAGCAGGAAACGGGTTTCTTGAGCAAGAAACATGTTTCTTGAATGTTTCTTGAACAAGAAACTGTTTCTTAAGCTCCCATAAACGGTTTATTGAGTTACCCGAAATAGTTTATTGAGGTCCCAGAAACAGTTTCCTGAGCTCCCAAAAACCATTTCTTGTGCTCTCAAGAAATAGTTGATTGATTGCATCGAAACCGTTTTTTGGGTTACTTTCAGTCTCGCCAAACTATTGAAACTTGAAAGTGCATTTGTTTGCTATTTTTTCTATTTTATGTATTACAAATTCAGTGTGTTAGAACATAATATTGTGTATCCCACGTCCATCTTTATAGATGTCACAGGGATGTAAATGGATAGTTTCTTTTAGTTTCTAATTTTTTTAAACAAAATATTTAAATATAAAAAAACATAGACAAAAATATGTCAAAAAACAACAAAACAGAATTTCATTAACAAGTTTCTTCAACATGTAACATGTTTCTTGAACAAGAGACATATTTCTTGCACAAGAGACAAGTTTCTTGTACACGAGACATGTATCTTTTACAAGAGACTGGTTTCTTGAGCAAGAGACATGTTTCTTGAACAAAAAACCTAGTTCTTGAACAACATGCAAGTTTCTTGAACCTACCTATTTCTTGATCAAGAAACAAGTTCTTGAACAAGACAACTGTTTTTGGTTCCAGACAGTTGTTTCTTGCTTAAGAAACATGTTTCTTGTTCAAGAAACCTGTATTTCTTGAATGTTTTATGTTGAAGAAACAATTTCTTGAACCTTGAACAAGAAAACATAAGTTTTTTCACATAAACTACAAAACTTTATCTTGAACAAAAAAACATAAACTCATTATTTTCTTGAGCAAAAAAAAAAAGAATTTTTTCACATAATCTAGCCAACAACTAAAGATGTTAACAGAGAGAGCAAGCAAAAACTAACAAGACAAAACTGAATCATCCACATCTAGCAGAAACAAAAGGACCAAAACACCAAATGTTTCCAAGTATACAATGCAAAAACTGTAGGTATCAAAGAACATCATCTCCAATTATAAACAACTGATAGAATTGAAGCTTTAAAGCAACTAGAAACCAAAAAAGAGATCATAGACAATGCAATATTGATTTCAGACAATGAGAACGACGTATTGCAATAATATCTCCATCACCGTCCTTTCTAAAAGGACGCTCGTTTCACCCTTTTTCCCAAAACAAAACCCTTTTTTTAAGCGCGGGGTCAACAAATTCATTAAAAAAAGGTTGAAATAATGCATCGTCCGGTGCCGCCAAGCCCCGGCGTTCCCAGCGGCAAGGTTCCGACGAACATCGACCCTCCCCCGCTGACGCCGTCGAAACCCTCGTGAAACCCGCCGTAGCCTGTGATCTTGAGCTTGCACCTTGTGTTGTTGAGTTTCACCTCGTAGGCTATGGTGTAACTGCAGTAGTAATTGCATTGTGCACGTCGTCTCCCCATTCTTCCTTAAGGCCAAGTAGTAGCTCACCGTCCTCCTTCAAAATGCCCCAAGTAAAAAAAAACCACAAAAAAATTTAATGCCTAATGAAACATTAATTTCCTCACCAACTTGGGGAATGAACAATTTTTGGTAGATTCAAGAATTCACAGGTACCTAAAAAGTTTTCTAATTACAAAAACAGAAAATACAAAACAAATAATAAATCGAAATATGACACACTAGAAGCAAAACATCTTAAGCAATCACGAGAAAAGCTTCCAAAAAAAAAAAAAAAAACTATACAAGAAAAAACCATTATAACTCGTTCACAAGCTGAAGTAAAAGAAATATGATAACAACAGTACTTTAGAGGAACCAAAATGCAATTTCAGTATGCATGTGAATACACTCGGATGAGACTACCAAGTGCACTGTCTTTATTTACCAAGAGAACTAAAATAAACATTAATCAAAATAGTCCTTCAGTGCTCTAAAACCTTTACACACACAAGATCCACCAACCAATTATTCAAATATGGAGACAAAATTAAGAATTCTGGGCCACGGGTATAAAAAGATAGCACAGGACCTCAGATCTAGTGTTGATGTAGGTGACGTCAGCAGCGACGCTGGGTGTTCCGGCGATATCGTAGAGAGCGAGGTTCGAGAGAAGGGGATTCAACTTCATAAAAAAAGATAGGGGCTGCCTGATCCCGCCTCTGGCCCCCAAAACAGCCACCTTCAGTTCCGGCTCTGAAGCCAAGGATAGGTCACGGCCCGACTCCGCGGATGAGGCCGTACTCCTGCGGAGAACAGATCTCAACATCGTCGCCCTCATTTTTTTTTTCTCACTCCAATGAATCTGATCTGAAGTTGGACCCTAGAGAGAGAAGAGAAATGAAAATGGAAAAGAGAAAAACTGAAAAAGGTGTAGAAGGGTAATTAAGTATTTTTACAAGCCAAAATAGCTAAATTTCATTCTTATAAAAGAGATGGCTATATGCACCAAAAAAAAAAAAAAAGATGGCTATATTTCATTTTTTCTTATAGTTAAGTGCTATAAAGGGGCATTACCACTTACTTTATTCTGACTATCCCAGAAACGTAGAAGAAGCATTTTGTACACGTTATATGTAGCCACGTCATCGAAAAAAGTTCACGCATTCCAATGTTACCTCTCCCAAATCCACCATCTTCACTCACCCAACCTCACTCGCTGTCTCCAGCACATTCCCACGTACACACACATCCCAATTATTGGGGCCGCGATCCTCTGCGATGCGGCCTCAGCTGTCCGCAAAAAGTGGCTCGTGCCTGTACAAATCGTTGGGCGCCCAGAGGTGATCCAAGGTACAAGGCCTATTAGCGTCGAGCCTCAGCCAGGGCTTCCCCTTTCCGCTCCAGTACAACAGGCTCACTGGACCAGGGTGCAAATCCCTACACTGCCCCACCACGTTATCCCCTCCCTGCCCGTGCTGGTTCCACCGGTGCTCCACAGCCTCAACGTCTCCGGCGAACACCAGCAGGAACGGCGGAAATGACCCCAGATTGTAGATACGGTGCCGTTTTTGCACCTGCATCCAGTGCTCCAACTTCTGAGTCAGCCTCTTGGCGCGCCATTTCTCCAGATCTATCACCATCACACCGGTGTTGAAGTAGCAGGCCCGTCGGTCTCTGAATTTGCCGGCGAACACGGGATTGGACCAGAACCTGGACGTGAAGTACAGGGTGAAGTTGGCGTGGCAGTAACTCCGGGGCACCGAGGACGGGAGACCGGAGGTTGGCCTGCCAGAGGGCAGAGATGTCGTCCACCACGATGAGGTCAGAGTCGAGGTAGACGACACGACGGATGGAGGCGGGGAGGAGGTCGGCAAGGTAGATTCGGGCGTAGTTGAGGGGCTGATCGAGAGTGCAGCGGATGGAAGAGTAGATGAGGGGGCGGAATATGGCGGGCTCAAAGGAATAGAGGCGGAGGCGGAGGTAGGGGAAGGCGGCGGCGAGGGTGGCGCGAAGGGCGGGGTGTTAGGCGGGGTCGGCGAGAAAGTGGAAGGCGGCGTTCTCCGGGCAGGCGGAGTGGCGGAGGACGGAGAGTACGGCTACCACAGAGCCGCGGAGATAGGGAGTTGAGTAGTCGTGTAACACCCCGCTTATCAGAGTATTTTTTTTTTTTTTTTTTTT